TTTTTTTTAATTATATATAGTTTTAATTGCTTTTAAATCACAGTTTTTATGATACAGTAGTTCATTAAGTTTAACACTTGAGAGTTTATTAGGGTTGTCAAATGCAGGTAGACACTGTAAAAACATTAATTGATAAAATTCTAGATAAAAACTATTTGTACCTGTAATATAACGTTTATAACGTGTAAGTAACGTAGTCATTACACCATGAAAATAATTTATCGCTTTCGTTGTGCTCATTGTAACTATTAAATATTATCTCAACTGCTGACTTTGATTGCGGGCCCTAAGTCCAGCAATTATAAATATTAACTGACTGGAATGCATACTACAAATTCACTTTCACTTAATCAAATAAAAGTAATAAATATTAAAAAAAATATTTATTATAAAGTTTAAACTATGAGAAAATATAAAGAATATCTGCAGCTCAAAAAGTACCCGGATTTTGTAAATAAAACACACAAATTTAAATTTTGTTCCAAATTTATTTTATCTCCTGCAAAATATGCTCCTTCTGAAGCGATACACATATGCCAATGCTTAACCCAATCTGCCATACACTTTTCGTAGGCCCGTGCAGGTATGGCTTTTAGTTTCTTCTGCGAATTCTCTTTTACCGATTCAATCGGGAACAAAAAAAAGACGCACGGATCCAGATCTGGCGAATATGGTACCTGAGCGATGACAATGGTGCCGTGTTTGGTCAAAAAATCGCATACAACAAGAATTTTCCATAGTAAAAATCGCTAAATGCAGTTGAGGTAGTCTCACATTAACAGCTGCTGTAAACAAACTAATTATTTAAGGAGTAGTTAACAAACAACAAAATCCGGATACTTTTTGAGCAGAAGGTATTCGTTTTGAACTAGTTTTATCCAAGTATATTCCAAATATAAATATTTTTTGTTTATATTAAAAAAATATGTTTTACTTTTCGTAACTAGAAAAATGAATTAACTTATTATAAAATGAATACCAAAGAAATACAAGTTTTAGGTTCCTGTATCCACCCATAATATTTCCAAAATACTTTACATAATCGGGTAGGGTTTGTATTTTTAAAACAATAAAGAAAGTACCCTGGAAGACCTTAAATAATAAATTAAATTTTAGTCATTTAAATGATCATATATATCTCCATTGGGATGTAAATAACATTTATATTTTCCAATCATTTTAGTATCAAAAGATTCAGTGCAATGAATTTTCAGGGTATAAGTGTTTATCAAATCAATATTTTTAGGTTAGAAATTAGTTAGATAACTACTTCTTATAGGTGAGCCCGCTAATAAGGAAATAATTATTTGAACTAGGCAAAGTGGATCATATCAATATAAAATATGTGCATGATATGGTTAATTGAAAAACTATTACGAAAGTAGCTATATCGCGACTGCGCATATAAATCATTTCATTCACTTTTAAAAGAACCACCCTTCACATTCCATTCTCAGGAACATAATTAAATGAAATATTTCTTGACATTGAAATATTTATGGCGAAGGAAAAAAAGATATAGTTCAAAAGATATCTGTCGTCAGTATACTATGACATATTGACATAGTAACTGTACAGCAAATGATCTGGTATGCAATGGCGGAGAGATTAACTATATGAATTATTTTCTCTTCTACTGTGTTAATAACAGCTTCCAAATCAGCTTAGTACGCAAAGGGAAAAACAAAATCTAACTGACTTCTGGAGCGTCCATGCATGCGGTAGTCAAAACGGCTTATTATCTCTAAGCATATAAAGACTTAAGCTATTCTAAACTTAAGCAGAACAGATATTAAACTCTACACGGAACTGCTAACAGGCCACTGTAGATTGCGATATCATCTGAAAAAGATTGATCTAAAAACAGGAAACACCAGAACCATGCGCCCACCCAGCTGTGGCAAGACACAAACTTAACTATTTAGGCAATGGAATGGAATTAACTATTTAAAATACGGCCCACAGTTGTCACGAAATTCTTCAAAAGTTTGGAATTGGACTAGTTGGGCAACAGGCTGTACAAATATCTTTCAGGTCGCAGTACATGCACAGCCTATCTATTGTAATCGATGATTATAATATATAATATTATTATATATATTATTAAAATATATAATCTATTATAATATATTATTATAATACTAAAAAGAAAACGTAGACTAGTTTGCAAAATAAGACCTGGCATAATCTGACTCTTATTATTATATTTATTAAGTTGAGGGATTTAGTGCGGCAAATCCGATTTCCTTGATTAATTGTAGTATTAAACCTACTTTACCGAATTTCGTTTCTTCATCTGATATGAAATGTCTATTTAGGTATTTCGTTCGCTTTTGCATCAGTGCTGGGCAAATTCTCAACATAATTCAGTATAACTTTTTCTGTTTTCTGTCTTTTTTCTAAATGTTTAAATGAAAATTATATCTCTCTATGTGTGTTCAAGAGATATGACCGGGATAAAAAGGTTCAATTATACCCAGTATTAATAAAAACAAAATTTGGTTTTGATAAAAATTGCCCATCTAAAGGAGGTGTTTAGAGAGCTTTGGAGAGCTTATTTCTGCTATTAAAATTGTGTTTCATCAATTATTCATGGTATATTAATTTCTATAAAATATATAAATATATATAAATATATATAAATATTTTGAAAACTATTGTATAATCGTTTTTAATCATTTGTGATCTTGTGCGAAATTTATCCGCAAGTTGATTCAATGGAAAGCACTTAATTCAATGAAATTTTTTAAAAATTGGGTGCAGTGTAGACTAAACTTAAGAAATCATTAAAACGTTAAAAATTTTTATCTTCAGTATTGAAATTAATTAACACATCGCACTTGTTGCACTTGAATAGCTGCTGACAATTGCATCTGAGTTTCATTTGCATTTTATATTGTATTGCGTAATGTACAGAATAAAAAATATTACAAAAGCATTTAAAAGTATTTAAATAAAAATGTTTGCGCCTTCTGTTTAAAGATATGCGCTACACTTCCAGTATGCACACTAAAGTCCTCACATAACTATGAATATAAACTGTTTTTGTTGGAATCTAAATTCAATTGAGTACATCTTGATTCATTTCTGTTTATGTTCCATATTAGTAATCTTTTAAAATTTCTATTAATAAATATTTAATTATAGTATTCTATTCTTAAGATGCTCAAATTTTCTTCCATAGTTCACAATTAGCTTATACTACAACCTACACATCTATTGGATTAACTACAAAACTTTATTAAATATTTTTTACGATTTCCCCGTTTTCGATAGAAAACATAAAATGTTATTGAGATGACATAATATTCTCCCACTTAATTTCTAGATTGCCTAATCTTAGTTGTAGAATTCAAAATAGTCCTTATATATGCGACGGTTAGCTGTAGTGTTGTATCAAAAAAAAATATGTTGCGGTTGTAAATTCTTTCTCTAACACAAACTTAGCTGAGGACCCACTTATTCCGGAATAAGGCTTCGGAATAAGGCTAAATGGTTACCCGCGGTGTCATTGCCTTTTATTATTACGTGAGCAAGCACCCAGCGGATAAGTATACTGTGTTTACTTGCCAGTTATAACAGTTACTTCTATATTATTGCATTCAATCAGGATACACTTATACTCCAATCAGCATCGCCCGGATTTGCGTTCGTTCGATTGGCGTTTTGTCTTCAAATCACTTCGGTAGTGTCTCGATCGTTTTTTAATACATTCGTATAGAGGGGATTCCCATATCATTTCTTGTAGCTCACATATTTTAAAAGGGGATTTACATGTATTCAGTTTTTAGTTAAAAGGTGTCAATTTATATTTGTGTGGTAAAGTAGAAGGTAAATTTCTGCTTTATAAAGTATAAAAATGAGCGAAAACCAATTTCCTTGAAACAAAAATTAGACATTTTAAAACGTTTTAAATTTGAAGAAAAACTTGCTAAAATTGGGAATTCTGGGTTCAGCTCCAACTAACATACTGTAAAAACAATTTGTAATCGTGCTGGGGACAAGATAGAAGATTATAGAAAAGCTGTCACACATTTGCAGACCAAACAAGTTACAAAAAATAGAAGTCCATTAATTTTAAAAATGGAATCCCTTCTATCCATTTGGATAAAAAATCAGAATCAAAAAAGAATTCCATTCAGAATAATGCTCAGACGATATTCAATGAGTTAAAAGGTAATTCACCAGCAACAAGTTATAGCCAGACCTAAACCCATAATCATAATGAACTTGGATTGAATAACAAGGAAACAAAATCTATAATAAAATTGAAAACACAAAATAGTCTAAACAATTTATTAGAGTTTTGAAGAACTGTAGTACTTTAAGAAGTTTGCTGTTAACTTCGGTAGCTAAAACTGTGCAATCTATAAATTTGTATCGATTAATAATCGATATAATCGATTAATCGATTAATAGCTGAACAGTTTGAATAATGAAAGATAGTGAAGCTGAGATACTGATATCCTTTGAGCTTAAAACTTAAAAACATTACCAGTTAGAGTAAGCCAGTAAGAGAAAAGGATAACCCTGAAAGTTTGAGAAATAATCATAATCTCAAGCATATAGTGAATAAAAGAAAATTGATCCAATTTATGGAGGCTCAGCATATACGATGGCTAGAATATATACTCTAATAGAATATATCAAAGGATGCAATCAAGGCACCGATGCATTGATTTCGATGCTTGAATCACCTAAGGAATCAACTAAATCACCTGATGTGGAATCACCCCAAAGCAACTTTCTGACAACAAAAATTGTTTAAGTTTAAGTTATGAATAATAAGATAAATAATTATATATAATATGCCAAAATTTAAAGTACGACTTTAAAACAAAATGCCATAATATATTCCAGAAATTGGAAAAATTAGCGAGTAAGACAAGTAGCATATAGTTTTGTGAATGGATATGTATTATAATCATAAATTGGGATCCATTTAACATATACAAATCATCAAGTACAGAGGTTTAAAAATATGGAACTGAATAACTTACCTATTTTTAAATATTTAGGTCAGCAGCTTATGCTAATTTTAATAGAGAATTATATAAATCCTCTTGCGCAGCGTTCTTCGTGGAACTTAAATGTCGCTTTGAAGAACCTTTGGATGTACCTGAAATTAGTAACAAACATTTCGTTAATTATTAGAATTATAATTCAATTTAGTTACAGAGTATGTTTAGTCTTAAGAAAGACCAGTGTTATCTTATGTTACAATAAAAATATATTTAAGTGCATTTTCACAAAACTCTCTTATAGATATGCATTACGGACTTTAGTTGCAACATGATATCTTATTTTATATTCTGATTTGTGCCGTTAACTAGTGTACCTGTTTTTTTTCTAAATAAATCGACCTTGATATAGAGAAAATGAAAAAAAATATTTGTCCAATTTCGGAATAAATATTACATGCAATATGGTCAGAATAGATCATAGAATAGAACAGAATAGAATAGAATAAAAATTTAATTTACAAATCAAAAACCTAGCTGCCCTTTATCGCGTTAGGTTAGCTTGGAGCATAGCATATTACTCAATAAGAATCCGATTTACCTAAGACAAAGAAAAAAAGATTTTTCTGAAATTCGACTTTATTCCATAAACCATTCTTCTTCAAGAAAAGGCTTTCATTTTACCTTTCCTCAAAGTTTTCATTTCTGCTTTTAAAATATTTAGGCCTCAGCTTCACAGTAGTTCCATCGAGCTACACCTTGCTGTTTATTGTCTGGTGTAAGATATTTTCTGTGATATATTTCTACCCCTTATTTGATATCATATGAATTCTATCATATATGCAGACAATGGTAAAAAAAAATGATTATAATGATATTTATTAGACTTTTATATGAAATATTTGAAGTTTGCTTGAAGATCAGTTCGTCGCAGCCAAATTAGTCAATGAGCTTATAATACATTATGTATGTATTATTGTAATAAAACTCATTAAGAACCGTTAGATATGGAGAATTTGAAAAAAACACTATTCTTTAGTATTTTATTTCTTTCCAACAAGATCAGAATGGTAAAATTTTACTCTAAATGCGCGTATTTGGTAACAATAAACTTATAAGATTTAAAATATTACTAATACTAAAGAATAAAATGCATCACGAGGCAAATAGATCATTTCCATCTAACCTTGATCGGTAACTCCGAATATTTCTGGGATTTTTATTATAATTAAATATAAGAGGCGGTGAATAAGAACGGCTTAGTGAAATGGTTGTGGCAGTATTAAACCTTATATTAGCCAGAGGTGAACACAATGCGATGTGCTACTTTCAATAAATGGTTAAAATATATTTCAAATCGAAGGTGCATAAAATTTTCATCTATAATCTGTATCTAAATTTATTTTACAGGATATTGTCCTATTATACGTCAGCACTGCAAATCATTTCCTAAGGGTACCCTAACAATACTATAAATCTTCTGTTTAAATAAATAATTATTTTCTTTGCATTTTGTTAAATCCATCCTATTGCATGCATCAAAAACTTGATTGGTCCATGCGTAATATTTTGAGAACCAAGAAGATACAAACCAAGAAGTCATCAACAATCAAGTCAAGCGTCGGAAATATAATAAGCCTGACCACACTCTTCGAAAGCGATACGACGAAATATGTCACCCCAAGGCAACAGACACAAAGGAAGACCATGTTACACCTGAAGACGAACGATAACAAATGAATCTTAAAATGAATAAATTATGTTGCTAGAAAAAGAAGTAGTTGAAGATTCTATGTAACAAGTCTATGCTCTGATGAACTACGGCTAATAATAATATGTGCATTTTCACTAAAGTGTGTGTTATCTAGTTATAGTAGTTCTATATAAGAATTTATTTTTAATAAAGTAGACAACTGAATCCTTATATTATATACAAAGTATTGCGTTCTGTATTAAGTATGCCGTACTAAATTAATTGCTCAGTACATTCCAAGCAAAATATATTATAAAATTTGCAACATATCTTAAAAAAAAAAACAGCTATTACATTTAAATCATATTCTCAGAGACCTAAAAACATAACTGGTTTTTACACATTAGACAGTAGTTGAAAAGAGCCAGTTTATTAATAAGACTAGATTATATTTTTTTTTTCATAGATTACTGCAATTTGGGTTAGATTATTTTGGTGATTCTGAGCATTTAATTAGACAAGTAATCGTGTTATACATAAAAAATTCAAAACTATTCGATTTTATTAATCATGTGTATAATTCTCTTTATAATCTGTTATCTGTAAAAGATAAGATGTAAGATGTAACAGAACAATCTGTTACAACTGACTATTATCGTCAAGAAAGTAATTAACTAGCATTCTTAAGATATTTTATACATGCGTTAGATAGTAAAAAATAAAGTCAAAAGGATTTTCTCTTTCACATTTAGCGCAATAGTTAATTACTAGGTGTGGTGTTCTATTGCACTATGCACCATCAGCACACATTATCCATTATAAACTTATTACTTTTAAGGGCATCTCAATAACAGACTTATTTCATATTTTCGTTAATTATTTTTATCGTGTACCTCATTCATACATTTCGCAATAACTTTGTGATAAGAAACCCCTAGGAAGAAAAGTTTTGAATTGTATTGAAATCTTCTTTAGAGATGCTTACCAGACAAAAATTGTCCTAGATTTAATTTGCACTAAAATCTGAATATATCCAGTCATATCTTTACCGAACACCCTACAGTATTCGCTAGATTATTTTGTATTTAAAAGTGGACAACTTATATACAGCTGTGTGTATATGTGGTTAAACCTTTTTTTATGTTCTAGTGATATTACCGCAAAGCACATATTTATTTACATTATAATGGCAGTCTTAAAACTCATATTAGGTTAACTTACATACAGCTGTGTGTATATGTGGTTGAACCTTTTTAAATTCTAGTAACACTACCGGAAATCACATATTTTTTTACATTATAATGGCAATCTTGAAACTCATATTTAATCATAATGAACTTATATTGAAGTTCCTTTTTAGCATCCAAAGTAGCAATCCCTTTTGACATCCAAAGTCACAAAAATGATTATTATTTAACTAAGATTTTATGCATTTAATTTTCATATTAATATCACATTTTTTTATTACGCTCTCCAATACTTAATCAACTTATACACAGAACGTAGGGCACCAAATCTATAAAAGCAGCTATAAAGATACCGACCACCTTGCGATAAGCATTTTCTGCTGCCATAAATATTCATTATGTGTGCCAATGTGTTAGTGGGAGTGTAGCCGGCAAAGTGATCACCTAAGCACTCGAAGAGAGGTACAAAGAGAGCGTGGAACTATATATATATATTGCAATAAATACAAAATCACGTTGACTTTGTATAAGAATCGCAGAAAGAGAATATGTTAGTAATTAAAAGAAAAGAATTAAGCGATAGAATAAATGCAAACAGAAATGGTACGAGACGTATTGAGAGAAAAAGTCTGCGCCATGTGGTGACAAAGTTATATGACAACAACCGCAACCGTGGCATTAATGTCGTCAGAGCGAGCACCCGCACAGTACCCACAAGCACAGTGCATTAAGGTCGATGCAAAACTCGTAAGATAATATTATAATATACATTAATAAGAATCCGAATATTGCAAGTGGCGGAAACGCTGGCGAATCTACAAAGAAAGTATTGTGAAGGGAAATATTCTTAAAATTCCAATAAACAAACAAAATTTTAGTAAATTGCTTGTCGTTATTGGCTTGGCATGGTCATTATATGGCAAACTGTCTGAGTTTTAATATGGGCAATCAACTATATCTGGGCCATTAGTGGTTTGGATATGACATATACGTATTCATACCCACAATGCCATATCCAGAATGGTCAAATTGTCAACCCAAACATATGTATGCATGATTTCAATTTTTTATATATAGAATACAATACTATTATATTCATATATGATATAGTATGTATTTTTACGTATACAATATTTTTGGGAATCTTTGAGATTAATTCAAAAAGACATATGAATATTTATATTTTTATGAATAGTCTTTTCACATTAAATTCTCGCACAAAATTTTAAATATTTTTTTGTTTTATTTTTTTTTTTTTTTGTTGAATTATGTATATATACAATATTTTGTATAGATGAATTTGAACTAAAGTCCATATTTTTAGTCAACGATGCATTTCGTCGTGTGAAGAACAAAAGCGAAGTGTAATTTTGAAAAGACCAGCATAGTTTATTGCGATTTACATGAAATATTTTTGTAAATTAAATGACAAGTTCATGTAAAAATTGCTTATATATATATATATACAATTGAGATTAAAATAAATATTTCGCTAGCACTTCTTCGCTAATTGCCCATATGCAATTTTCTAGCAATTACACATTTTATTAATTATTTTTTTTCAACAAAATTGCATTAAGTATTTTGGCGGAAATTATTTTGAAGCGCAATGAATCGCGTATTCTACGAAGATTATGTCATAAGATACATTTTAACACTTGGGTGCACGGCTAAATAAAGTATGCCCAAGACAAACACCTCAAAACACCTTCAATAATTTAGGATCTGATTTTTTAAACAGATTAACTCATATGCTAATATTAAGTTAATTACATATAAACATTCTTTTAATCTACAATACATACACTTCCCTAAGTCCGGTACTTACTGCAATAAAATAGATCAATTAATTTCTTGAAAAATGTCCGGACTCAGAATAACATCACAAACTAAAGAGCATGTAAATCACGTAATAGAAAAAGTGTATATTGTACTAAGCTTTGACAGTACGTTTATGTGATTCCAAAAACCTATTAAATTAAACCAAATATTCAATTAGGTAATGAATACTGACTCTAAGCTACAAATTTGGCAGGGTACGAGCTCAACCCTTGCTACGTGTAGTCTCAAAAAAATTATTGAGGAATAATTAAATAAAAGAAATAATTTCCAAGACCACTGATGATGAGCATTTGGTAATACTCGAAATAGCTGTATGGTCAGCCAAAAATTCAATTAATTAAAATTAAATAAATATTTTTGTTGTTGCAATTCACTATTCGATAAAAACCTCTTTATTGAAAAGAATAGTTTATATTAGGATTTTATTTAATATAGA